GAGGAGGAGGAGCAGGAGAAGGGGCCGCTGAGCCGCCCTTTGAGCCCCCGGAGCCAAGGTGGAGGGCGGACAAGGCGTGTGCCAACGTGGCGGAGATGGGCGAGGCGACAGCTGGCAGCACCGACCAGGCGAGCCTGACGCTGCGGCGAATGATTGAGCGACACCTGGCGGTGCACGGTGGGTGATGTTTCTCGTCCTGGCATGTGCTGGCGTGCTCCTCCTCTCCTCTCTGCACTCGTTCCTTTGTAGTCCTGTTGAAACCGGAGGGCCAAGAAGGCCTGAATTGGTTCAACCTTCCTAGCTTCGGTTGAGTTTGGCCCTGACACCCAAAATCTTGGCCAATTGCATTGCTCGCCCCAGCTAACCTTCCTATGGTTGAACTTCTTGGCCCGCGGGTTTTAAATTCCTTGACCGCTATCCCTGGTTTCACCCTCACCCTCCCCCCCTTGCCCCCTGCCCTCCTCTCCTCCCTGTTATTTTCTCTCACCCCGTCATCCTGTGCGCAGCGTGGGTTCGTGTTGGGATATGGCAAGCACGAGGGCCTGGGGAGGTTGTTCCCTCCCACGAGGTCCTCACAGCCCCACCCTCTCTCTTGCCGTTCCACCCTCTCTCTTGCCGTTCCACCCTCTCTCTTGCCGTTCCACCCTCTCTCTTGCCGTTCCACCCCTTCCCCTGCAGGTGCCTCTACTGTGCGTTCGCTGCCCTCTCACGGTTCTCGCTGCGAATCCTGAAGGGGTTCGTGTTGGGCTATGGCAATGGCAAGCACGAGGGCCTGGGGAGGGACCCGTACAAGATCCTCACAGCCCCACCCTCTCCCTTCCCTCCCCTCTCTTCCCATTCCCCCCTTCCCCTCCAGGCGTCTCTGCTGTGCGTGCGCTGCTCACGAGCTTTGCGAGAGGGGTTTCGTGCTGGGATATGGCAAGCACGAGTGCTCAGAAAACAACCCGTACAAGATCCTCACAGCCCCACCCTCTCTCTCTCTTCCCTCTCTCTTCCCTCTGTCCTCTCTCCTCTCTCCTCCCTCCCGTGCCTCCCCCCTCTCTATCTTCCCTACTCTCTCTGCCCTCCCGTCTCCCTGTTCCGCCAGGTGCCTCTGCCCTGCGTGCGCTGCCTGCTCACGAGTTTTGTCAGAGGAGCTTTGTGCTGGGATATGGCAAGCACGAGGGCCTAGGCAACAACCTGTACAAGATCCTCACGGCTCCGGCTCTTGCTCTCATGCTCAACCGCTCCATCATTGTGGGGGAGAACTAGTGAGTGAAGTGGGTGAGACGAGGGTGAGATATGTTGGGGTGGGATGGGCTGCGGTGAAGCACGAGGGCCTAGGCAACAACCTGTACAAGATCCTCACGGCTCCGGCTCTTGCTCTCATGCTCAACCGCTCTATTATAGTCGGCGAGAACTAGTGAGTTGGTGGGGTGTTGCAGGGTGGGCTGCGGTGAGGTACGGTGGGGTCTGGTGGGGTGGGCTGTGGTGAATCGCGGTGAGGTGGGGAACAACCTCTATACGATCCTCACAGCCCCGGCTCTTGCTCTCATGCTCAACCACTCTATCATCGTGGGCGAGAACTAGTGAGTGATGTGGTAAGGTGCGGTGGTGTGGGCTGCGGTGAAGTGTGGCGGGGTCTGGTGGGGTGGGCAGTGGTTATGTGTGGTGGGCTGGGGAACAACCTCACTGAGGTCCTCACAGCCCCGGCTCTTGCTCTCATGCTCACCCGCTCTGTTATTTTCACCGACAACTGGTGAGTTGGTGGGGTGTTGTAGGGTGGGATGTGGTGAGGTGCAGTGGGGTGCGGTGGGGGAACAATCTCTACAAGATCCTCACGGCTCCAGCTCTGGCTCTCATGCTCGACTGTTCCATCAATGTGGGAGAGAAAGTGTGAGTCATGATTGCGAGGCGTGGTGGGGTGTGGTGGGCTCACTTGTCCAGCCCGCGTTTTTCCCCTGTGCTTCCCACCGTCCTCCTTTTCCTTACCCCCCCAGTGGCACGCGGCCACTGATGGAGAGCAACAAGACGGTGGGGCAGAGGCTATGGAAGGACTATCTCGCCTTCTCCCCGGAAGCAATCTCCATGCTCGAGTTGAGGCACCTCTGGCACCACCACACGGGCAACTGCTGCTGCCGCTGCTGACCACCGGTCGACACCACTCACCACCCATCTCTGCCTCTCCCCTCTCGTCCCAACCTCCCTCCAATCATTCCTCCACCCCCAGTGGCACGCGGCCACTGATGGAGAGCAACAAGACGGTGGGGCAGAGGCTATGGAAGGACTATCTCGCCTTCTCCCCAGAAGTATTCTCCATGCTCGAGTTGAGGCACCTCTGGTATCAGCATGACTGCGAGCGGCGCTACAGGCGGCCTCTGGTGGTCAGGACGGACTCTTTTGCCAACCGGGCGAGATCACGCACGATGTGTGATGATTGGTCCACGTGGAGGGAACCCATCATCTGGTGAGTGCATGCTAGAGAGCATCTCTTTGAGCAGCGCTTTTGAGAATTCTCAAAAGCACCATCATCGTTGCTAGAGAGCATCTCTTCGAGCGGTGCTACAGGCTGCTTCTAGTTGCCAACCGGGCAAGATCACGCACGCTGTGTGATGATTGGTCCACGTGGAAGGAGCCCATTTGTGATGAGTCAATTCTCTAGTCGATTTTTGAGTCGACTCATCACACGTGAATGGAGCCCATTATCTCGCAAGCCACACCAGTGAGTGAGAGCAACCATTGGAATGAAATTGTTGCATTCGATTGGTTCACAGGGAAGAAACGTACGGGGAAAGCATGCGTTTCATTCCATGAAAAAAAAAAACATGATTAAGTACTGCACTAGATATGGTGATTTTCTATTTCTTGGGAAATCATGCGTTTCATTCCATCCTTTCCCCTCTTCTTCTCCCTTCCCCTCACCGTCCCCCCTCTTCTTCTCCCTTCCCCTCACCGTCCCCCCTCTTCTTCTCCCTTCCCCTCACCGCCCCCCCTCTTCTTCTCCCTTCCCCTCACCGCCCCCCCTCTTCTTCTCCCTTCCCCTCACCGTCCCCCCTCTTCTTCTCCCTTCCCCTCACCGCCCCCCCTCTTCTTCTCCCTTCCCCTCACCGCCCCCCCTCTTCTTCTCCCTTCCCCTCACCGCCCCCCCTCTTCTTCTCCCTTCCCCTCACCGTCCCCCCTCTTCTTCCCCACTCCCTTGCACGCTCCCCTCGAGTTTGGCCCTCCGTCCCTCCCCACCTCCCTCCCTCCCTGTGATCTCTCACCCTCCCTCTCACCCTCCCTCTCACCCTCCCTCTCACCCTCCCTCTCACCCTCCCTCTCACCCTCCCTCTCGCCCTCCCTCGCACCTTCCTTCCTGCTCCATATCTCCCCCCTCCAGTCTAGACGATGCATTGGACTCAGTACCCATTCAGGCATTTCTCAAGAACCTCCATCCAGCCATGCGGGAGAGAGCACACGCCATCATGGGCGTGCCTTGGGACCCCAACTCTCGCCCCAACGTGTTTGGGAGATTGCCTGTTTCACCCCTCTCACCCTTCCTTCCCTTGCGTTCTCCCCTCCCCCACTCCAGTTTCGACGATGCATTAGACTCAGTGGGCATCCAAACCTTCCTGAAGAACCTCCATCCCGCCATGCGGGAGAGACCCCAGGCCATCATGGGCATCCCCTGGGACCCCAACTCGCGCTGCAATCCCAGTCCCCCTTTGGTTCTTTCCTCCCTCCCTCCTTCCCTCTCCAGTTTTGACGATGCATTGGATTCAGTGGGAATTCAAACCTTCCTGAAGAACGTCCACCCGGCCATGCGGGAGAGAGCACAGGCCATAATGGGCGTCCCCTGGGACCCCAACTCCCGCCCCAACCTCTTTGGGGAGATTACCTGTTTCACCCCTCTCTCCCTTCCTTGAGCCCAGGCCATCATGGGCGTCCCCTGGGACCCCAACTCGCGTTCCAACCTGTTTGAGGAGAACTTCTCACCCTTCCTTCCCTTGCCTTCTCCCCTCCCCTCCTCCAGTCTTCACGATGCATTGGATTCAGACTTCTCTGAAGAACCTCCATCCCGCCATGCGGGAGAGAGCACACACCATCATGGGCGTCCCCTGGGAGCCCAACTCGCGCTGCAATCCCAGTCCCCCTTTGGTTCTTTCCTCCCTCCCTCCTTCCCTCTCCAGTTTCGATGATGCGTTAGATTCAGTGGGCATCCAAACCTTCCTCAAGAACCTCCATCCCACCATGCGGGAGAGAGCACAGGCCATAATGGGCGTCCCGTGGGACCCCAACTCGCGCCCCAACCTGTTCGGGGAGATTGCGCGCGTGCTGCTGCTGCCCACGCCAGCGGTGGCGGAGGCAGTGAGATGGGCGCTGGGGAGTGGAGGGAGGGATGCTGACGTGGTGATACACTTTCGGCACGGCGGGTGAGTGGTGGGGTGTGGGCCATTCCCCGTCTGCTGCTGCTGCTGACGCCAGCGGTGGCGGAGGCAGTGAGATGGGCGTTGGGGAGTGGAGGGAAGGACGCCGATGTGGTCACTCACTTTCGGCACGGCGGGTGAGCGGCTTGGGGCGTGTGGTGGGTGCTTGGTTGTGGGTGGGTGGATTGAAAAGAGGTGAGGAGGTTTGCTGCTGTTCTGGTGCTGCTGCTGCTGACGCCAGCAGTGGATGAGGCAGTGAGATGGGCGCTGGGGAGCGGAGGGAGGGATGCTGATGTGGTCATTCACTTCCGCCACGGCGGGTGAGTGGCGGGGTGGGGCGTGGGTTGCTATGCTGGTGCTAGGGCTGGCTTGGGTTGGCTTGGGTTGGCTAGGGTTGGCGTGGGTTGGGATGGGCGCTGGGCAGCGGAGGGAGGGATGCCGACGGGGTCATTCACTTCTGGTAGGGCGGGTGAGTGGCTTGGGCGAGTTTGGGTGGTAGGGCCTCCAAGTGGCGTGGGTTGTGTTGCAACGTTCGTGCACGGGCTGGCGTGGGGGGAATGGAAGGAGATGGGTGAAATGAAATGGGAACAGGGGAGGAGCTTTGCTCGTAAATTGTCACTCGCCCGCCATCTCCCCCCCTTCGTGCTGCAGGCTTGATTCCGTTTCTGTAGCTGCTCTGTGTCCGGAATGGCTCCAGCCAGCTGCAGCTGCAGCTGCTCTGTGTCCGGAATGGCTCCAGCCAGCTGCAGCCTGCAGCTGCAGCTGCTCTGTGTCCGGAATGGCTCCAGCCAGCTGCAGCTGCAGCTGCTCTGTGTCCGGAATGGCTCCAGCCAGCTGCAGCTGCAGCTGCTCTGTGTCCGGAATGGCTCCAGCCAGCTGCAGCTGCAGCTGCTCTGTGTCCGGAATGGCTCCAGCCAGCTGCAGCTGCAGCTGCTCTGTGTCCGGAATGGCTCCAGCCAGCTGCAGCTGCAGCTGCTCTGTGTCCGGAATGGCTCCAGCCAGCTGCAGCTGCAGCTGCTCTGTGTCCGAAATGGCTCCAGCCAGCTGCAGCTGCAGCTGCTCTGTGTCCGGAATGGCTCCAGCCAGCTGCAGCTGCAGCTGCTCTGTGTCCGGAATGGCTCCAGCCAGCTGCAGCTGCAGCTGCTCTGTGTCCGGAATGGCTCCAGCCAGCTGCAGCTGCAGCTGCTCTGTGTCCGAGGAGGAGGAGGAGGAGGAGGGCTCTGGCTGGAGCGCATTCCTAGGTTAGATTGCAGCAGCACTAATGAGGTGCCTCAATTATCCGCTCCCCCCGTCCCTTCGGTCTTGTTGCAGACTGTTGTCAGTGGCTTCTGCAGCTGCTCTGTGCCTGAGAAAGGCCCTGGAGCACATTCATAAGGTGAAGCAGCACGAGGTGAAGCACACTCATCGAGGCAAGGCACCTCAATTGTCATTCTTCACTCCGCCCTCTCCCCCCTCTTCTGCTGCAGACTGGAGTCTGTGGCTTCTGCGGCAGCTCTTCGCCTGAGAAAGGCCCTGGAGCGCATTCTTAGTGTGAAGCAGCAGGACGAGCAGCAGGGCTTTCTGAAGCATCTCAAGAGTCATCTTGTCTCTTGTCCCCCCCTCCTCTTCCCTTCCTCTTGCTGCAGGCTGGAATCTGTGGCTTCTGCAGCTGCTCTGTGCCTGAGAAAGGCCCTGGAGCACATTCACAGGGTGAAGCAGCAGCGCTTTTGAGGCACCTCAAAAGTCGTGTCGTCCCTCGTCCCCCTCTCTTCCCTTCACGCTGCAGGCTGGAATCTGTGGCTTCTGCGGCTGCCCTGTGCCTCAAAAAGGCCCTGGAGCACATTCATAGGGTGAAGCAGCAGGATGAGCAGCAGATGGAGCAAGTAGCCGCACTTCAAAGAATACAGGCGGTAGCAGCAACTGCACCACTGACAGCAGCAGAGGCAACAGAAGCAGCACTGTCAGCACCAACAGCAGCAACGGCCGGAGCAGCATCCGTAACTACAGTGGCGTCTGGAGTAGTATTAGCAGGGCCAGCAGGAACGGCAGGAGGTGAAGCAGTTGCAGCGATGAGACCAACAGGCGTAGCAACAGGCAGTATGGGGAGCAGATTGCTGGCGTGGGGGAAGGGGAGGATTCGGTGGGGCAGAGGCAGACGATTGCTGGAGGCAGAGGGTAGAGGAGGGGAGGAGGAGAGTGGAGGAGAGGTGGAGGAGAGTGGAGAAGGGGAGGAGGTGGGTAGAGAAAGGGGTGGAGGAGAAAACGAGGAGGGTGGAGGAGGGGAGGGGATGGTTGAAGGGGAAGAGGAAGGTCAGTTGGAGCACGCGAGTGACTCGGTGGTGGTGCAGAAGCAGAAAGGGGGAGGAGGGAAGGGCAAGGGCAAGACAACCAAGGGAAAGATGAAGAAGGGAAAAACGAAAGTAGGAAAGACGAAAACGGGGAAGAAAAAGAAGGGAAAGACGGGGACGGCGAAATTGGGGAAGGCAAAGAAGGGGAAGAAGAATGTGAAGTGGAGTAGAGGACAGAAGAAGGCGACAGGGGATGAGGATGGGAAAGGAGGGAATAAGGAGGGAGGGAGCAAGAACAAGGAAGCAGGGAGCAGTAAAGCAGTGAGCGATAAGGACAAGCTGAGGGTGGTGGTGGTGGCGGATCATCCTAGCGTGTTCCGCAAGATAGGAGCACTGACGTCCGACTTTGCCAAGGTGGGTGAACCTTGCTGCTCCCTGCTTCGTTCTCCCTCTCCTCCCTCTCCCACTCCTTGTAGCTTTGCCCCTTCCTTTTCTTCACATCCACATTCCATCATTGCGACTCACTCCAATCTCTCCTCCCTTACCGCTTGATAAATGTAGTGTTTTGAGACGTCTCAAAACACTTGTACCTCTTTATCGTCCTTTTCTTCACATCCACATTCCCTCAATGCCACTCACTCTATCTCTCCTCCCATTCCGCTTCTATTGCTATACCGTGCCACGTCATTCTTCTCTCCCCTCCACTCCACGGCACTGTCTCTCCCCTCCACTCCACGGCACTGCCAAGTCACCTGTTTTCAGTATTCCACCCTCCCCTCCCCCCCACTTCTCCGTTTTCCTGCAGCTCGCTCCCTTCCCCCCCCCCTTTCTCCTGCTGTGCCCTCTCCTCCAATACTGTGGTCCCTTACCCATTCCGTCCCTCTCCCTTGTCTTTTATTCTCTCCCACCTCTCCCCCCGTTTTCCTCCTCTCTTCTCACCCATCAGATCATTCGTTTCGACCATGCCAAGTTTGTGCATCGACACCTAGAAAGCCTTTTCACACCATTGCTACCTTACCCACTGCACCCCACTTCCCTCGCTATCTTTCCCCCCTCCCATCTTCCTGCCCATCAGATCATTCGTTGTGACCATGCCAAGTTCTTGCGTCGACACCCTTTTGAGGCGCCTCAAAAGTTTTCTCTCCCACCTCTTCCCCGTTTTCCTCCTCTCTTCTCACCCATCAGATCATTCGTTTCAACCATGCCAAGTTTGTGTGTCGACACCCAGAGAGCCCCCTCGCACTGATAATCCCCTACCCCCCTTCCCCCATACTCTCTCGCCCTGTTGTTCCCCCCTATTCCCCCGCCCATCAGATCATTCGTTTCGACCATGCCAAGTTCGTGCGCAGACACCCAAAGAGCCCCCTTGCCTCTGCAAAGAACAAATCAGTAAGCAGCAGCACTTCTGTAAAAAATAAATATATTGGAAAAAAAAAAGAATCCCAGCAGCAGAACTACCGAGCTTCAGCATGTTTTTTCATACATATACTTCAATGCATATCTTGCATATCTTTGCAGCCTCTGAAGGGACATTGCCGCTCAACAATTTCTGTCAACTTAAATGCATCTTTTTGTATCCTTTCAACAATTTCCTAGCGACATTTGTCAACCTTTCTTTTTGTTATGCTCGCTTCTCCCCTCTCTGCATTCTCCCTCCCGCCCCCGCAGCTCCCATCCTTCCGAGTGCGGGACTGGGGCCCTCTGCCCCGCTGGGTGGCATTGGGCGACTGGGACTGGGACATTTTTCAGGTCGCCACAAAGACCTAGTTTTGAGGCGCCTCAAAACCGCGTGAAAGAAGTCTAGTTTTGAGGCGCCTCAAAACCGCGTGAAAGAAGTCTAGTTTTGAGGCGCCTCAAAACAAAACGGGACTGGGGCCCTCTGCCCCGCTGGGTGGCATTGGGCGACTGGGACTGGGACCTTTTTCAGGTCGCCACAAAGACCTATCTCTACCCTCGATGTCCTGTTTCCCATCTCTCCCCTCTCCATCGCTCTCCCTCGCAGCTCCCATCCTTCCGAGTGCGAGACTGGGGCCCTCTGCCCCGCTGGGTGGCATTGGTCGACTTCTTCCTCGCCGCCCGGGCCCGCTACGCCTTCATCTCTGCGGGGCGCTCAAGGGTCTTCACCACCTTCTCCCAGCTCGCTGCTTCTTTAGCCGCGGCCAGGAGTCTAGGTGAGCAGTCGTGAGGCGTGTTGGCGTACAGCTGTTTTCTGGGTAGGCACGTTGACTCCCAGCTTGCCCGGGCGCACTATGGGCCTTCATCTCTGCGGGGCGATCAAGGGTCTTCACCACCTTCTCTCAGCTCGCTGCCTCTCTAGCCGTGGCCAGGAGCCTAGGTGAGTTGTCATGAGCTGTGGTAGAGTCTGCACTCAAAGACCCTTCACCAAGCAAGCATGGGGCGTTCAAGGGTCTTCACCACCTTCTCTCAGCTTGCTGCCTCATTAGCCGCGGCCAGGAGCCTAGGTGAGTCACTAGAGTGTGCATGATGGACTCTGGAGTGTGCATGCAGTTTGCTGTGGTGCGTGCAGTTTGCTGTGCTGGACCCGTGTGTTACTGGCCCACACAGCACTCACGGGTCTTCACCACCTTCTCTCAGCTCGCCGCCTCTCTAGCTGCGGCCAGGAGCTTAGGTGAGTGACCATGAGGCGTGGTAAAGTGTGCAGTTTGCTGTGCTGGTATCAGTGGCCGTTTTGTGCCATCGGTGGCCCACACAGCACTCCAGGGTCGTCAACACCTTCTCTCAGCTCGCTGCCTCTGTAGCCGCGGCCAGTAGCTTAGGTGAGTCGTGACATGCTGTAGAGTGTGTGGTGTGCTGTGCTGTTGTAGGTGCCGGTTTCACCCGCATGCATCAAAGCACAGAAGCGCTCAAGGGCCCTCACCACCTTCTCTCGGCTCGCTACCTCCCCTGCTGCTGCCAAGATCCTAGGTGAGCTGTCCTGACGACCTTTAGAGTCTGGTCCTCCTCCCCCTTGCAACTGACACTCCCTCCTTCCCCCTTTGCTGGAGAATGGTTTAGCCAACCAGGGGGGAAGGGGCCACGCCTGGCACACCTTCTCAGGCCGCCTCTCCTGCCCCGCCCAACCTCCCCCACACCTTCTCAGGCCGCCTCTCCTGCCCCGCCCAACCTCCCCCAGTGCGCCCTCTCCTCTCCTCTCTTTCACACTGCCTCACTCTCACCCTCTCGCTTCCCCTGCTTTCCCTCCCCCCTTCTCTTTCCCATGTCCTCCCGCTTCCCCCTTACCCGTCTACAGAAGACACCCCCTCCCCTCAAGCCTCGCGCTTCCTCCTTCTAAGCGCCTTCCACTCCCACCTACTGGAGAACGGTTTAGCCAAGCAGGGGGGTCGCGGTCACGCCTGGCACACCTTCTCAGGCCGCCTCTCCTGCCCCGCCCAGCCCCCCCAGTGCTCCCTCTCCTCCCCTCTCTTTCACACTGCCTCACTCTCACTCTCTCCATTTCCCTGCTTTCCCTCCCCTCCCACTTTCCCATGTCCTCCCGCTTCCCCCTTACCCGTCTGCAGAAGACACACCCTCCCCTCAAGCCTCGCGCTTCCTCCTTCTAAGCGCCTTTCACTCGCACCTACTGGAGAACGGTCTAGCCAACCAGGGGGGGAGGGGCCACGCCTGGCACACCTTCTCTGGCCGTCTCTCCTGCCCCGCCCAGCCCCCCCAGTGCGCCCTCTCCCCCGCCCTGCCCTATGCCTGGTGGGACGCCCCCTGGCAGTCCCCCGCGCGGGGGGAAGGGGGGAAGCTGAGACGGCTGGGGCTGCAGGTGGGGGAAGGCGGGGAGGTGGGGGAGGAGGCTGTGGAGAGGTTTTGTGAGAGGCGGAAGGGGGTGGCTGTGCGGGTGAAGCTAGAGATGGGGTTGAAAGGGGGAGGAGGGGAGGAGAAAAAAGGGAAGGGGAGGAAGGGGAAGGGTGAGAAGGGGGAGAAGGGGAAGGGTGAGAGGAGGGAGAGTGGGGAGAATGGGGAGAAAGGGGAGGGTGCGAAGGGGGAGAAGGAGGACAAGTGGAAGGTGACGCAGAGATGATGGATGGTGGGGGAGGGGAAGTGTTGGAAGGTAAAAGAAACAAAGGGAAAGAGTTATGGAAAAAGGGGGAGCAAGCTAGTAGGCGTTATGTGTCCAAAATGTGTCCAATCCAATCAGAGTTCCCTCATATACATGTTTGATGGAGAATACTCAATGACATGGTTTGAAAACACTGGTGAACCCCAGCCAGAACTGTGTACTTAGAAAAAACAACAGAGAAGCAACTAGGCAATGCTCAGATTCTTCGCTGAAGGAGTGGCATCCACTCAGGGCTTGTTTCGGAATTTGTCCTGGACTAAGTGCACCTCTCATGGCATGGCCTGCTGAACACCCTGTAGTCTCAGAAAGATGGAATGGAAACCCAACAGTCAAGTGCATAGTACTGGAGAGAGTTCCCAATCATTGTAGAGGGGAAAGAATCCTGTAAGAAGAACTGCTGCCAGACAAATACAGAAACCCCATGTGCTAGCCCTTAGGGCGACGTCAGGTTGTACAACTTCTGTACACTCAACTCCGTTTCTTCACGGTGCAAAACAGCAAAGCTTGAAAACCGCTTCCTACCGTGTGGAACCGTCCTGAGCCACGATACACGAACTGTAAAGGTGCTGAGAAATGTACAACCTGGCGTCACCCTTATATCTTTTTTTTTTCTTCTTTTTTTTTGGTTGGAAGTACACTATATAAGCATACAACCACAGTCGTAACTGTTTCCATGGAGGACCTAACCACTAACGAGCATAGCAGTTATTCCCCCATACCCTCCTTTATGGCGGTTTGAAATGGGCTCGCGGATCCTCCCATATCGAGCGAAAGACCTCCTTCCACGTCATCTCTTTTTCTCCAACAAAGATGCAACTGAGGGACCTTTTGTTCTGTCACCCTTATATCCAAGAATCAAGCATTAAAACTGCGGTGAGCGTGGATCGAACACGCGACCTCCAGATCTTCAGTCTGACGCTCTCCTAAATGAGCTATCCCCGCAAATGTGGAGAAGTGGGGTATCGATCCCCATACCTCTCGCATGCTAAGCGAGCGCTCTACCATCTGAGCTACATCCCCGTGATGACAGTTTTTTATTAGCATAATCGATTCAATAAATGGACCCCAACTGAACCCCCATAATGTCCTCCCCGCACATTCTCTCTCCTGTCTCCAGTTCCCAGAGCCCTAGACCAACCCGCGCGGGTGGAGTGGTGGAATTTCCAGAGTGTCTGAAGTCGGAGCAATCGAGTATCCAATTAGTCACAACTGCAAGCCACATAATGCAGACTGATTTTGTCATCCAATGTAACGCTATGTTGCACAATTCTTCAGATTTATACTAAAAAGCACGTGAGCTAATTCATTCCCCAGCTGAATCAGCTGCTCAAGCCTCCTAACTAGCATTCCGTGGAGCCTCATGTGAATACAGGTGTTCAACCCATGATGACTGAACGAGGGATCACTTCTCAAGGTCTCCCAGGTCTGCAAGTACCGTACAAGGAAATAAATTAACCCGTGTTGGAAGTGGGGAATTGCATGCGGTGGAATTGAGACACGGAGAAAGGATTGATGAGATTTGGAGGGGTGGGGGAAAAGAGGGAAACGGGGGTGTGCCAGGAGACAAGACCAAACAGGCTCAAAACTGGGGCGGGACAAGGAGCAAGGGCAGGAGATCAGAATGAAGGTCAGACGAGAGGTTTGAAGAAAGGAAAGGCTGGGTATGTGAGTGTTGCAAGTGCATGGAAATTTCACTTACCTTCATCCTCCTCGTCCTCATCCTCATCACCACCAAGCCCAGCACCTCCGAAATCAGCACCACCAAAGTCAGAACCTCCAAAATCACCACCTCCAAAACCACCACCAAAGCCGCCAGCACCACCGAAACCACCAGCACCCTGCATCTCAAAGCAGAACGAGGCATGTCAAGGAAATTCGTAAGGATAAATGTGCTGAATGCACGCAACCAAGCCAGTCCCACACTCTGAGATCAGCATGTACAGAAATGAGCAGAATTGAAGAGAAATTTCGCAATATAGTTAATATCAGTGTCAGAAGTGAGGTAAAATGGACTTTCAGTGCCTCACCTGGAATTGTTTCATGAAGTCAGGGTCCACTGTGAAAAACAGAAGTAACAAAGAGAGGGTGGAGATTTAAGAGTTAAAAGGGAGCAATATGAGATATGAAGTTTCAAGGGGTGTGGAGTGATATGACATACCCAAACTCTACACAACTGTGAAAAAGCGTGTGACAGAGCATATGTAGCACAGCAATTGCTTGGACCGACCAGCCATCCAGGCGATACGCTTCAGCAACCATGGCCACGTAAAAGTTGATTTGTCATCCTATACCATTGTGCAAAAAAACACATAACTTGTTTCCCTTCGTATTGTTCATCTCGTGTTCTTTCATTATCTAACCTGTTCACGATCAGGCGTTATCCCACTTGTACTCACATTGGTTAGCACTTGACTCCTCGTCTTCATCAACCCACTTGTTCCAGTCAACTTTGAGGAACGGCGGAGCTCGTCCTGCTGCCTTGATCAGCCGCGGCCACCACTTGGCCTCCGCCTTCACCACCATGAATAACGTGTGCCGCGACGTGCTCACCACTTTGCTCTCCTGGAAACGGATCGCCAGCACGGAAAACGAGAAGCTGCGTCAATAACGTTATAACGTACCCAATCGCCAAGACCAGGACCAATGACCAAACGGAGTACCTTCCAAACGGATGCAATTCGGTGTCAAAACTGGACGAATCTTATTTATGTTGGCCGAACCACGCACCTCGACATTAATTTTATCAAACAGCTCAAGATCGACGGCGAAGTCTTGATCGTCGGCTCCTGCTTTAGCTGAGTACGATAGCTTCCCCTCGGGATCTAGATTCGTCTTGATGTCTTTAGCGTCAGGGAGCTCGACTGTGATGATAACATTGTCTGACCGTTGAGCCCAGATCACCTCTGGATGGCGGCTGCACAGACCAGACGCAGGTTATCGTCAGTGCGAATTACCGTAGACTAACTTACATGATAAACCCCACATAATCGAACCGATATGCACAAGCAAAACCGACCAGACGAAGATGATTCTATTAATCTGTGTTGCGGAGTCAAGACGTAGCAGGCACAATTCCCGTACCCCATGGTGGTTTGGATGAGAGAAGAACGAGAAGTTCAGATGTTGAAGACCGATCCGAAGCCTCGAAGAAAGTAAAGAATTAGGAGCGCTGCTTAAAGAGTATAGAGTGACGACGTTGCACTTCTGACGGTAGAGTTAGTGACAGCTGATCACAACGAAATGGTGGTGTTGCCGGGATCTTTCGTCTCGCAGACTAATTGAGAGCAGGAGGACGTCCTAGCGACCAAGAATCTCGAGAGAATGTTCGGGAGCCTAAAAATATTAGTGCAGGAGAGGCGATTAGAGCATCGACTCTGTAATCGGAATGAAATGGAATGCCTTGTGATGGTAGCACAAGTGCTGGTACGAAGGGGAGAGAGGAAGGCGGAGAAGATATTTCTCGTTCTGTCCGCTCGGCTCTCCAGGTGGTTCTGGAACTTGCAGAGTCAGGGGAAGGGGCGTCGCTGGAGCTCAGATGGCCACTCACATGCTGCCACGTTGGGGAAGAACGCAAGCGGCTTACAGTTCGTCGGCTGCGGTGACAGCAGGAACAGAAAGTTTGTGTTTGTATACGCTAAATTTTAAGGTCGGTCTATCAAACCTCTTCAGAAGCACCGCTCCGGACCGCACAAACTTCTTCTGTGCATGCACTGCAACAAACTCGATAATATCTAAAGGTGCAACGCCGCAATAACGAGTATCAATTGCTCTTCACTTATCAGTTGCTGAGATCCCTAGCTCTTGCATCCTGATCCGTCTTTCGTCGTAACTACTTGCTGTCGATTACCTTCGTCAGGTCACCACAGTGAGAACATGGCGGTAAGTTCGTTTTCCGTTGTCTTGTTTAGAGATGGAAAATGCCCAAATTCTGCTTCCTGATGCTTATTCTCTTCTCTCTCGTTCGCGTTTCCACAGACCGTTCCAGTAAACCCTAAGCCGTTTCTAAACGATCTCACGGGGAAGCAAGTCATCGTAAAGTTGAAATGGGGCATGGAGTACAAAGGTGTGTGCTTAACACATAAAGTTTGTGTTTTGTGACCTTTGGACTACCTGTTCGTATCGCTGTTGACTTAATTGCGTATTTTGAATCTCGCAGGCTATCTGATGTCCGTCGACGCCTATATGAACCTTCAGGTATAACAAGAAATATCACGTTTCGCGTTTCGTAACGATACGGTTATATGCGATTCGCAGCAGGTCATCGCAATTGTATATACTATCGTCCATGATCGTTCCGTGTGTTGCGTTGACGGTGTGTGCAGCTAGCGAGCACGGAAGAGTATATCGACGGTCAGTTTATGGGAAGCCTTGGTGAAGTGCTCATCAGGTGCGCTCCTCCCTGCCTCGCATGCCCCTTCTTATTATGCTCCGTGCCTCGCATGCTCCTTCGCATGATGCTCTTCATTTCATCGTTCTTTTTCGCACTGACTCGCTTCCTTCCTTGCTGACTCGTTCTTTTTCATTCGTGTCTGCAGTGCGAATGTTACCTTGTGATTGGATGTGCTGACTGGCTTTCCCTCCTTCCCCTCCATCCCATCCTTCCCTATACTGAAATGGTTATGTGTGTGTGTTACACATGAATATTTCGTGTGCTGTGCTGGGTCTGCGTTCCGTCTGCATGTTGTCATGTAAATCAACCTGCGGACGGGCAGATGCAACAACGTGCTATACATGAGAGGCGTGCCAGAGGACGATGAGATCACAGAAGCGCAGGAAGAGGAAGGCTGACAGCGGGGAAGGAGATAGACGGCTAATACGCCCAAAATTAAGGTACGTCCTTCTGACTCAAGCTGTGCCCTCCTCGCCCCACCCCTTCGAACCCTACCTCCCCCTCTTCCCCACCCCTTCCCATGGCATGTACCTACTCTCCTCCATCCGCCTAGCCTCTCCCATCACCTACCGTCTCCCATGCACCTGCTCTCTACCATATGTGTAATCGCCCTGTGCTCTCTATATGTGTTTAACCCACACATTTCCCCTCCCGCTTCCCCGTTCCCTCCTCCCCTCTCCCAACTCCCCCTCCCCCCCACTGCACACCACGCTCTCCTGCTATCTGGTCGTTCGGAATCATCATTTCTTAATTTACCTTCCTCCTCGCACTTCACTACTCCTTGTTTCTCCTTCCTCCACTTTTACCCTCCATCAATTCTTCTACTGAATTACCTCATTCCCTCACCCTGCTCAAAGTCCAGAATTGTTCTTCTTCTCCCCATTTATGAAATGCCCCATCTTTCCGTTGCCCCTGTTGCCTTGGTTCATGCTTGTCAGCTTTGTTCGGCGCTCTGCGGTACCTCACGTCGATATCTTCTAGCCACATTTTCTCGACGGTCGAATATGCTGAATTCGCCCCTGCAAGGTAGACCAATATGGTAAGTCGACCATTGAAGGAGGCATGTACGGTATCAGGAATAATATATATAGCAGCAGCATCTTCTGTGTTTCCTGTAGTACCTTGTAGTCGCCATAGCAGGCAGTGTGGCTAGTAGGCTGGAAAAAAATTGCAAGGGCATGGCATTCTCGTTCTTACCACTTCCAAGCAAAGATGCACCGTTGAGTGTGCTCCTAGTCTGACCAGTTTCTGTGTACCATTGTGGTTTGCAAGCTCTTCTCACTTGGCTATGGATACTAAACGACAGGGTTGGAGACCCTTGTGACGTGATATTGTTTGATTATGTTCTGTAGGGACTTGCAAAAAGGTCTGATTGACAGATACCATACAACAGGTGGGGTTTGAAGCTAAAGAGTTTTTGCTTAGAAGCTTTTGCAAAGAGTTTTAGCTTCCTTCTTCTAGAAGCTTCACTTCTCAACCATTTACAGTACTTCTGTTCTACAAGTACAGTACCTAGGTCTTCTGGCGAGGATGACAAATGTGGCAATGTGCATGCCACGTAGTCATTTTTTATCGGGCAGATTAGAGTGGATGATATATTATTTCTAACGTCGATCACAGTTCATCGGACGGAGTTCAGCTTACAGTCTTGTTGAGGGGGCAGCGATAAAGCAGTGACACCGCGTCAACAAACCGAGTCGCTAAAGCGACGCCGCCCTCCCGTGACGCCTTCAAGTATGGTGATTGTTTATTTTACAGGACCAGCCCGAAGCAAAATATAGTTATTAGGGGCCAAATCGACTTCGCGCCAAATATTCTATGGTTGATTAGTCTAATATCATCAGGTCACATTTAAGCAGGTTTACAGAATACAGGGCTCATGAGAAATTCTTATCGACTGCCCGTGGAATCGGCGCTGTTTTCCAACCAATCCCCGGCCCTCGTCGACCACCGACGGCGCTTCGCCTGAGGCTTGATGGGGGAGGAGCATCTGTGGGGCAAAATTTCGCGAATAAATTGCGGCTGGGAAATCCAGTCGAGTCATTCACTTCCAAACGTCGTTTCGAGGTTCACTTCCCTTCCCAAGTTCCCACCTTTCGTCCTTTCATCATGGCCCCGATGAAGATCCTCGCTCTTCTGGTCGCGATTTCGGTCGCTCTGCTTGCACCCTCCGCTTATGCGGAGTCCAGCTCCGTCGCCACTTCAGGTGGGTCGTCATTCCGCTGCTGTGTCTTCTGCTTCAAAGTCGTGATGTTTTTAATCTTTTTTTTTTATCTCTTTTTTATCTTTTTTTTTTTTTTTTTGCATTTAGTGAAATCCTGACGCGACGCGTTTTGTTTTGCACGACTGCAGATCTCGAGCAGAGCGCCGCAGTCGCCGCAAGGCGCTTCTTGGGAGACGACCACCACGACCATCACGACGACCACCACGACGACCACCACGACGATCACCACGAGGAGAAGCCCAAGCCCAAGCCCAAGCCCGAGGAGCCCGAGGAGCCCAAGCCGAAGCTGACGTGCATTCAGAAGTACAAGATCAAGTACGCCGCTTGCGACACCAAGGAGGAGGAATGCGTTGCGAAAGCGGAGGATGCGGACGAGAAGGAGATGTGCGAGGCGCAGTCGACGGTGTGCGAGCGCAAGGCGTACAGGTCGTTCAAGAACTGCAAGTACGGCAAGTGGGGCTGCAAGGACTGGTGCCTGTACCGCCGCCGTCAGTGCCTCAAGTGGTACAAGGCCCCGGTGTGCGAGGAGAAGTACGAGGAGTGCGTTGAGAAGTGCACGCCCAAGCCCAAGCCGTCACCGGCGCCCAAGAAGGAGCACGACGATCACCACGACGACCACCACGACGACGATCACCACCACGACCACCACGATGATTAGGTGGCGCCTTTTTCGAACGATTCCCGTCGATTGCACGCCTGACGGACTCCCGTATAGTAGTAATGCTCAACTCACAGCGAGTTTCCCGAGGGTGCGACGAGCCACGACGAGTAACCTCACAAGAAGGATTTGCGGGAGCCTCTTGGTTCACAAAGAGGGTGAACCTGTGACTGCGAGGGAGTGTAACCTCTTGTTACGCTTCTCCTTGAGTTCTGTTGCTACGACTTTCTGCTTTCCTTATTGTGTGGGTTGCCTTTTTTCGCCTGTGCGGTCGCGGGAATGCGTTTGGCAATCTTGGCCTGGGTTTTTGTTCGGAAGGGTGGTAGAGGGGATAGGGGGTTTGACTGGAATGTGTGTGTGGTAGTGGGGAATAACCTGTACTTCGTTGTAATTGTGATGATATATGCAACAATTTTGGGAAATCTATTCCTTTCCACACTCAACACCCCCCTCTCGACTAATTCCTTGGGTCATTAGAACATGGGAAAGGAAATATTGGCAAGAGCTGTACCAGAAGGCTGCGTAACAAACCGTCTTCCTTTCAAGATCCCCCTGCTCCTGCATTCTCTTCTTCCACGTCATCCTCATCTCTCTCTCTTCCTCTTCCGGACGAACTTCCTCCTCCACATCCTCTGGATCATCTCCACTCTTCCTTTCAAGAACCCCCCCCCTGCTACATCATTCGTACAACGAACCCTCTCTCCTCAACTCCCCCCGTCTCTCCTCCTTGTCCTTCCCCCCAAACAACTCTATCAATCATCCCTAAAATGTACTGACCCGAAAGGGGCCCCCAGGTGACTTCCGGGCAAGATTGGGGACATCTGGAAATCTGACCCATAAGTTACTTTTGGAACTGACACTTTAGGTTAACCTGAGGTCAGAGAGGCTAACCCAAAAGCGACTTTCGGGTCAGGTACGGGTCAGGTACGGGTTAGATTTTGGCGGGAAAAGTCAGGTACGGGTCAGATAGACTGACCCAAAAGTCTCTCCAAGGGCAGATTTAGGTCACACGTGTCTAGCACACAAACCGCCTAATCCCCGTCATTGAGTGCGTCGATACTTGTTACATGGGTTACGTTTATATCGGACGCAACATATTATGCCCATGGTGTAATCGACCGCACCGCATCCTCGATACAATATGATCCACTAACCCATCGAACGCGTAACGCATATAACAATTTGTGAAGCATAACGTATATTACATTTTCTGTCGCACTTAGTTACATAGCAATCAACTGTGCACTACTAGTAGCTAACCTTCACATATACTGCACCCACACTACGGACCCGTAATAACAGGCCGAACATATAAGCTCTTACATGCATGCCTAGTCCCCCAAAATCACTGAACCACAATCTAACAACATCAGGTGAGCCACGGCTCGTCGGTGTCACCACCCGGGTCCATCTTTCCCCCATATTGCACGGGCTTGAACTCCTCCAGGTCACTCGCGTTTACATACAGGTGCTCTGCCCCCCACCTGAATCCGCCCACAACTGGATCGTACCACCTGCCCTTTGACACACCCAGCCAATGGGTGATCACTTTCAGCACCTGCTCGTTACAGTAACCTAGCCCCCCCTCGTTGTCAAGAGGGCTGGGAGTCATGCATATCGCTGTTGTCTCCCAGTTGCGTATCCCGAAATCGAACTGCCATCAGGTTAATTGCAGAACACTGTCAGTGGGATACATGGGGCCACTTAGAACACGGAACGAATAGCTTCAATCCACTCACGGAATACAAGACCCAGGCGATGTGGTATGGCACCAGCACCAGGTTGCCTCCAAACACCCACTCTGGGTAGGCCGCCTTGCATGCTTGGAAAAAGACCTTGGTGGTAAACGGCCGCAAATCCCCTTTCTCGCAGCTCCATGTCGATACAAGCTGCATAAGCTCCTTCTCTGTACACGGTGCGGCAGGCAAGTATGTGGTTAAAGCAGCCCCAGCATACATAGGCCCTGCCCTGTGAGCCCTCCATGGGGATCCCCTCCATGCACCCACGACACTCACTGGGCGCGTATTTCCGCTGCAGATCCTTCTTGGTGTCGATAGCGATCTCCAGCTTGTAGATGCTGGGGGCTGCGACCTTGATCTCCAGCCCATCCACGATCCTGCGGCGTCCGTTCGACGACGAGTCACTCCTGAACTTTGACCAGATCTTGTTGACCACCTTGCTGTACGCCCCGTTGTTCATGGCGCGGTCAACGTCTAGCTGACAGACGTCGTAGTGGCACCGGAGCACCACGAGAAGGGCCACGTTCCTCTCGTCGTCCGTCGGCCAGTACGTTACGCCATGCGCGGCGCATGAACGCAACAGCAGATGCATCGCCTTCTTGGCGTAAAACTGGGGGCCGGGGTTGGTAGGGGGGGGGTGGGGGGGGGGGGGGGTGGGGGGAACCACGACGCCACGGGAACAGAGCAGTTTCGACACTTGACTATGGAGACTACAACAGGGCAAATCGCCAGGCTTAACATCACAACCACACCGAGGCCACATGCGTACAATTATCCAGGAATGCCTAGTCCACATACGTGTATCTGGTCTGCCGAAGGCATTCCCGGCTGCAACTCAGGCCTGTCATCGTTTGGGTTGTAGTCGACCACGATCGTCATCTTCGACCGCTCTCGCTTCAACCCTCTTCCTTGCATGCCTGACGCGTGTCGATCCCACACAACACCATCAGGCGCTACGCTCCCCGCGGCCCTCCCCGTCTCTGTCCCCACGCCAACACCGCCCACCCGGGTTGCCACGTGGTTCCCCACGACCGCCAGCCTCCCAGCTCCAGACAGTCGGTTCATTGCGAATCTGCGGTTTGGCCGCTCAAATGCCTCTGCAACAGGCGCTAACTCTTTGGCAGCTCTTCCGGGGGGTCGTGTTGGTGCTTGCGTCGCCACGGACGCTTCCCTCCGAACCCCACTATGTTGGGGTGCATCTCCAGTCCTGCCGCCAGGCCTCCACACCTGCGGCTGGGCTGCCACGGCTGGCGTTACAACTCCGCCACCTTTGCCCGACTCTTCCGCCGCTTCGCCGTCCATTCCCGCCAGAGCGGCATGCAGGTCTTCGCCAAGGGTGAAGTTCATCACGCCCCCTTGTGCCGCAGCCGTCAGACTCTTTGTCCCACGAGTCGCCTGAACCTGCGCCCACAGCAGCCGTATTTGCTCCATCGCACGCCCTGCGACGTTGTCTCGACACCCATCGCCGCCAAGAACGGTGTCCGCTCCACGGACACTGGCGTGAGTGTCCTCGCATGTGTCCAGGAAGGGCGTGGGAATCATGCCAGGCAACACACCAGCTCCGTCCGGCCCACGGTCGTGCACCTGCGGTGAAGGTGCTACCAAGGGCGTGGCAGGGGTAATGTTAGAAGGCGAGCCGGCAGTTTTAGAAGGATGCATCCTGGGCGGCGAAGCGAACAAGGTCCGGTTCACCACCCCCCCGCCACGAGATGGTGCCGCGTTAGACTCGGCTTCCACACCACTGTGCTTAAGTGTTGTGGTCGGTGTGAGCGGCGACGGCCTCGCGGAGTTACCTGAAAACGCCGATCCCCTGACGACATCCTGCGACCGATTCAGAGGGGTGGTAGGTGTGGGGGTCGATGTGGCCCGGTACCCACCATGACCCGCTGCCGCCGTGGTGAGTGACGGCTGCAATTTCTTATCGTGTACTCGGGTCTCTGACGTTGACGGTTCGCCTCGTGCAACATTCGCGCTCTGGCCTGTAGCCGACGGAATGTCAACGTCGCTCGTCTCCTCGTAGATGTTAAAAAAGTTGCGCCTCATGCCGGACGCCCGTGTAGACACAGCCACGACCCGTCGAAGCACAGACGTGTTGGCGTCACAGCGTGAGCGATTGGACCCGCTCCCGGTGGCCCGCAAGCGCTTACCCGCACGGCCTGATGCAGATTGGCCGCAACCTCCCGTTCCTGCGAGTTCAGATTGGTGAGAGGGAGGAGGCGTGTTATCAGTCTCCCCTTCGGACTCGGTCTCGCTTGCGACCCAGTCCGCGTCGCCAAACTGATCCTCGCTGTCACAGGATGAGGACTCCGTGCCCTCGTCGTCTTCGTCGGGCTCTTCAGAGCATGATGAGTGTTGCACTGTAAACAGCACCTCGTTGTACTTCAGCCATGCCTCAGGGCCGCACTCAGTGCTGCGTGGACCGCCGTGCTTAGTGTCCCCGCTTTTGGGCGAATCACTACCTGCAACAACAAACGCAAACGCTACTTAGTAGCTTGGTGAGTACCCAGGGTCACCGTATTGGTGGCACCGCCCATGGCCAACGGCTCGATTAACCATTCCTAATAAGAACTCAGCGCGAGCCATGCGGCAATAAAAGCACGTACGGAAGTGGCTTACCCCTTGCCTTGTTTGACTGTTCTGCAGGCCCCGCGTTTGAAGACGCAATCTCCGTCAACAGCTTGGTTTGTTGACGTCTCCGTGCTTCGCGCTCCTCGTGCACGGACTCTGGAGTCTGGCCGTATGGATTAGGCAACGGTCTCTGGCGTGGGTCGGCGCTAACACCGTGAGTGGGCTGACGTTGGGCTGGCGTCAAATGACTGTCGCCACGTAGACGCCGAGTTCGATATTCACAAACGAGCACACGCGTGCGCTCACTCTCTTCCACCCATTTGCTGTCCAGCGCTCGAGTGCGGACCGTGGTAACTACGAAATCGGTCCCGTTAAGGTGTGCGGGTGGCTTCCTATCTCGCATGGGTCGGTCTAAGGTTAGAGACATCGTTCTGACCTCGAACTGGCTTCATCAATAGGGTGATTGTTGCAGCACTGGCCTGCGCGGAAGGGCATTAGCTAGGGTTACGAGTAGTACCCAAAGAGACACAGCAAGGGTTTCGCAAAAAACGCAAATGAGACAACAAAGAACAGGAGTCTTGCACCCATCAACCAACCAGTCGCGTCAATCGAATCCTGCTCCCTTGGGGGCGTGGCATTCGAAGTGACTGACAGCCGTGGATTGGAATCCTCGCCCGACTGGGTCAATCTAAACCGTCTGTGAGTTGTACAGCACATGACGGATGGGTTACGCGTCATTAGCTGCTTTTCTTAAGACCCCTGTCCACGCGTCGGCCTCGAACTGCGGCTATGACGTGTAACCTTATCGTCGCCGCACCGGTACCCAATACCGTGTACCAGGACAACTTGTTTAGGCACATACCTTGCAAACCCTGTTCAGGTGCCTTAACGAAGTCCGCTATAGGCGACCATTACAGGACAGTCGTTACAAGGTTGCCCGTTGGTCTGGGAGTACACAGACACTGCATCTTCAACATTTCCCGTGACGGTAAGCCACGGTGATCGCAGGCACCTGTTGAGTGCGAAGTAATAAACCGTGCACCACCGTACCGTGGAGTTATGTCCACACGCGGTCCCCATTTCTGGATCGATTAGTTCACATCCACGCTCTCGAACCCGCCGCACTTGACGCTGCCTAACCGCCTCAAGATTCGCAGCGTTGTCAAACGGACCACGAGCTGGGTGCTGATAATGGCCACGACGAGCAGGTGCTGTTAGCTCCTCGTGCGGTTGAGTGCGGTGGGGAGGGTGTGGCAGCCGTGGAATGGAATGCTGTTGGTCACCAATGCGGTGTAGAAGATGGTGGCACTGTAGTGGCTGTAACGGAGTGTAACACTGTGACGGAGTGTAGCACGGTAACGGATTGTGGTTCTACCGCGTATTCGAGCTCCGTGGCTTGTTCTACAACCGCAGGGCCGGGGAAGCAGGCGGAAGGGCATGCGGAAGAGGACAGGGGGAGAAGCAGCGATCAGGGTGAGGGGGGGAATGGGGGAGGTAAGGCGCAGAGTCGCAGGGCGGGAGGGGGGGAAGGCGCAGGGGGTAAGCGCAGGGGCAGGGGCATGGGCAGGGGCAGGGGGCGGGGGAGGGGAGGGGTTATGGGCGGGGTACGGGAGTGGAAGGGGAGGAAGAGGGGTGGAAGCGGAAGCGGGAGAGGTGGTGGGGAAGGGGGGTGGAGAGGAGGCGGGAAAGAGTTATGGTTGGACGATGAATGTTTGGAGGAGTTGGGTGCGGTGGAGGTGTGTTTGGAGGAGAGCGTTCAGTCGAACGATGTGGAGGTGGAGGGGATTGGGGGGAGGGGCGGGGGAGGAGAGGGGGGGAGCGCGGTGGAGTGGGGAGGCGGGGGCGAGGGGGAGGAGGTTGACGGGGAGACGAGTGGGGAGAGCCTTTTGAAGGGCACGAGAGGGGAGGAAGTGAAGAAGGGAGAGGAGGGAGAGGAGGGAGAGGAGGGAAAGGAGAGGGAGGAGGGAGGGGAGGGAGAGGAGGGAGAGGAGAGAGAGGAGGGAGGGGAGGGAGAGGATGGAGAGAAGGGAGAGGAGGGAGAGGAGAGGGGGGAGCGAAATGCGCGTTTGGGGGATCTAGAGGATGGTGAGGGAGTGGATGATGGGAAGGGTGTGGCGGAGGAAAGGGGAGTGGTGGATGGGGAAGGGGTAAAAGATAAGGAGGGGGCTGATGGCCGGGAGGGGTTGGAAGATGGGAAGGGACCGGAGGATGGGGAGGAGATGAGGGATGTTGATAAGATGGGAGGGAAGAACGAGGAGGGAGAGGATGGGGGGAACTGGGAGGGTGGGAGAATTTGGGTTGACAGAGAGAAAGGTGAGGAGAGGGGGAGAGACAGACGGATGGACGACGAGGGAGGGTTGGGAGATGCGAGGAGGGAAGAAAAGGAGGTCGAAGGTGGTGCGGCAGGAGGAGAGGCGAGGCGGAAAGCAGGGGAGGCTGACGCAGATGGGGCAGGGGGGCAGACGAGGAGGAGAGAAGAACAAGGGGGTGAAGCAGAAGGGACAGGAGGCGAGGCGAGGAGGGAGGATCAGGGGCGGGGCGGAGGTGGGAAGGGGCGGTACTGGGGGCTGGTGAGCATGGGCGTGCTGGCGTGGTTGAGAGAGGAGGGGACGGAGGAGGGGAGGGGGGAAGTGAGGGAGGAAGTGAGGGAGGAAGTGAGGGAGGAAGTAAGGGAGGAGGGGAAGGAGGAGGTGAGACAGGAAATGAGGGAGGAAGAGAGGGAGGAGAGGGAGGAGAGGGAGGAGAGGGAGGAGAGGGAGGAGAGGGAGGAGAGGGAGGAGAGGGAGGAGAAGGAGGAGAGGGAGGAGAGGGAGGAGAGGGAGGAGAGGGAGGAGAGGGAGGAGAAGGAGGAGAGGGAGGAGAGGGAGGAGAGGGAGGAGAAGGAGGAGAGGGAGGCGGAGCACGTAGCAGGTGCAGGGGGACTGGAGGAGGATGAAGACTTGGTGGAGGATGGGGAGGTGAGAGGGGTGACTCCCCTCACGGCAGGCAGCAGCAGCGCCATGGCTGCAGAGTACGAGCAGCACGTGCGGAGGGACGAAGATTCGGGCGCTTTGAAATCCCTCCTGGCGGAAAGCAGAGCGGTGGTAACGCGTGGAGGGTGGGAAGAGGACGAGGAGGGAGGGCGTGGGTTAAGCCCTCTCCTGGCGAGCAGCAGAATAGCCATGAGCAGAATGGAAGAGGCGTGGAGGGAGGGCGCTGGTGAGAGGAGTGCCGAGAGTGTGGTTGTGATTAGAATGGAGGCGGACGGGGAGGAGGAGGAAGAAGAGGAGGGTTCAGGGGTGGTGCCCATGCGTTGTGCGGAAGGGAATGGGATGGGGGAGGGCGGTGGGAGCAAAGAAGGGGTTGAGGGAGGAGAGAGAGGCGAGAGGGCTGGGGAAGGAGAAGGGGACGGGTTGTCTGGGAGTAAACCAGACATGATATCAGAGTTAGCTCAGAAGTCATCAGAGGCCGAGGGAAGCGAGGCGGCTAAAGAGATGACTTCTGAGTCGACTCAAAAGTCATCTCAGAAGTCATCAGAGGCCGAGGGAAGAGAGGCGGCTAAAAGGGCTGGCAAGCGAAAAGGGGATGAATCAGCTGGGAGTAGATCAAAGCAGGGCATAGGTGCTGCAAAGGAATGGGTTGGAGGGGGTGAGAAAGCCGTTGTTACTGCTACTCGGGCTGCTGGTACCGAGGGAGAGCAGGGAGAGCAGCGAGAGCAGAGAGAGCAGAGAGAGCAGAGAGAGCAGAGAGAGCAGAGAGAGCAGAGAGAGAGGTGTGTGTTTGACCCTGACCTGCTCGCGTCAATGGAGGATGTGTTTAATCGCCACAGCGCTGCTGACTGGAGCAAGGTCACCCCGCCCATCAGCCCAGGGAAAGGCGAAAGCACCAAGGAGATGCAAGGCAGCACGGACCAGCTGTGTGTGGCTCGAGGTGTTACAGTGGGAGAGGGGGCGGGACAGAGAGCTCGCCCCACCCTAGAGAAACTGCCAAGCCTAGAGAGTGTGCCACCGAGCCTAGCGGAGGTCCGGAGTCTTGAGGATGCGGAGCTAGCAGAAGACCTGCAGGTCCCTGAGATTGTGTCGAGTGTACAGCATGCGCCGAGCCTACAGGAGGTGCCGGGCCTACAGGAGGTGCCGAACCTACAGGAGGTGCCGAACCTACAGGAGGTGCCGAACCTACAAAAGGTGCCGAGCCCAGAGGAGTGTATGAGTCCAAAGCTGCCTCCCAGTCCAAGGGGTGGAGTTACGAAATACATCAGCCCCTATAAACTCACAAGCCCCTACAAGCACACAAGCCCTTATAAACACACAAGCCCTTACAGTCACAACAGTTCGTTTAAGCATGAAAGCCCTTACCAGCGCCACCCGTACAAGCACAGGCGCCTAAAGTCAGACATGTCTGCAAGCCCAGCGAGCCCAGGCGCCCACGCACTGATGCAAGCACACGCACCTGCAGTCCGGTCTCACAGCTCCGGTAACTCCCATAGTGGTTCCCATTCTGCTTTCATGCATTCTGGTGCGTCCCCACGTGTACCTGCACACGTGTGCACTAGTCCCCAGCAGCGTGACCATTCTGCTCCCTGTAGTGGCAGCCTCTGTTCTCAAGGTAGTCCTGGCCGGCTGCTTTTCCTCTCTATAAGCAGTCTTCGATTCTCTGCTGGCGCTGCTTCCAGTGCGCATACCGCTGCACGGGACAATCGCTCTGGTAGTGGTGGCGGCCTTGCCGCTGCTGACGCTGCGGTTGGTGCTGCTGGTGCCGCTGTTGGTGGTGCCAGCTGGCGGATTGGCGTGAACAGTGCGTCTCTGCGTCGTCTGCTCTCCTCTGCTGCCTTGGACGCTGAAGGTGGAAGGGCAGAAGAGGAAAAGGTTGAATTGGATAGTGGTGGGGGAAAGGCGGAAGATATTGGGGGAGGGGTGGGGGCAGCAAGGGCAGGGGATGGGGGAGAAGCAGTGACGCGTGAGGCAGCAGCAGCAGTGGTGATGAGTGCAGGAGTGGCAGCGGCGGGGGTGGGGGAAACGCAGGGGGAACGAGGAATGGGGGACTGGGATTGCAGAGGCATGGGTGGAGATGCAGGAACAGCTGCAGAAGCAGCAGTAGCAGAGGAATCAGCAGCAGGGAGAGAAGGGGAAGGAGAGGAATTGCGGATTGCTGGAAGTGGGGAAGAGAAGGGAGTAGGAGCACTATTGGCACCAGCATCCGTTGCAGATTTGGTTGCTGCTTCGATTGGGACACAGATTATAGTTGTGGAAGCAACAGCAGCAGATGCAGCAGCAGCAGAAGCACCAGCAGCTGCCGAAGCAACAGCAGCAGCAGCAGCAGCAGCAGAAGCAGCAGTAACAGTGTCACCGATTGCAGTGGCTTCACTCCCAGCAGACGCGCAGGTGGCAGCAGCAAGTGTGCTTTTGTCCTCATTTGAGAGGAGGTGCCCGCCAGGCGGGGAGCGAGGGGTGGTGCTGTATGTGACAACTCTGCGGGCTATGAGGAGCAACTTCGATGCGTGCTGCGCTGTCAGGCAGATGCTCAAGGTGAGATGACAGATGCTCAGGGTGAGATGACAGATGCGCAAAGTGAGAGGCGGCTGGTGGAGGGGGGACGAGATAGGTGGTTGGAGCGGCAGCATGAATGTGCAAGCGAGATGAGGGAAGCGCCGCTCCAACCACCTATCTCGTCCCTTCCTTTCCTTTTGGGAAGCGCTCAAACGGAATGCTGCACTGGCCACGATCCACTCGCCTCGTCTCACCCAACGCACTTCTTCCCCTCTCCTCCTTGTTGTTCTCTCCCTCTCCCTCTCCCTCACCCTCTCCCTCTCCCTCTCCCTCTCCCTCTCCCTCTCCCTCTCCCTCTCCCTCTCCCTCTCCCCTTCCCCTTTCCTCGTTTTTGTCCTCATGTCTCGGGGCGCTCTGAAGGTTGTTCCAGTCACCAGTATTTCCCTTCCTTCCTCTCTCCCTTCTCCTCCCATACAGGCGCACGGCATCCCCTTCAATGAAAGAGACGTGTCACTCCATCTGCCCTACCGCCAGCAGCTCAGAGCCCTCATAGGCTGCTCCTCCCTCTCCCTCTCCCCGTCCCGTTCCTTCCCTTTCCCCCCCACCCCCACCCATTCAGGCCCTAGCCATCCCCTTCCACGAAAGGGACGTGTCACTCCATCTGCCCTACCGCCAGCAGCTCAGAGCGCTCATAGGCCGCTCCTCCCTCTCCCTGCCGCACCTCTTTGCTGCTGGCCGCTGCCTTGGGGGCGCTGCTGCTGTGCTGCGCCTGGGGGAACAGGGGCTGCTGCTGCCGCTGCTCGCTGCTGCTCTGGCGGACGGTGCTGGTGAGGGAGGAGCAAAACCGGCTGGAGAGGCAACGGTGGAGGCAGCAGAAGCAGGAGCGAGAGGAGGAGTAGCAGCAGCTGGGAAAACATTAGGTTCAGCATTCGAGTGTGTAGGCCCAGTGGCCACGGCAAGTGGAGCAGCGATTGCAGCAGAAGGAGCAGCGCCAGCAGCAGCAGATGCGGCAGCTTCTGATGAAACTACCGGGGCTAGCGGTGCTGCTGCTGCTGCTGCTGCTGCTGTGGTTGCTTCAGAAACTGCATCTGATGCTGCTTGTGCACCAATGAGCACAGCCCCTGAAGAGGCAGCAGCAGGCATCAATGCTGGTGCTACCACGGGCAGAGTCAGTCATGCAGAAGCAGCAGAGGGTGGTGACTCTCATGGCACTGTGACTGTAGAGCCTTGTAAGACTGGTGTGACTGGCGCTGCTGTGACTGGCGCTGCTGTGGCTCGGTCTGGTGTGGCTGGGTCTGGTGTGGCTGGGTCTGGTGTGGCTGGGTCTGGTGTGGCTGGGTCTGGTGTGGCTGGGTCTGGTGTGACTGGCAGATCCGGTGTGAGAAGAGCACTGTTCCAGGGAAGCAACAGCGGGGCACAAGGTAATGATGCTGGCGGCAGCGGCGCTGCCAAGGATACTCGCACTAATTTCACTGCTTTGGCCGGCCCTGCTGGGGTAGGCTTTGCTGGGGTAGGCTCTGCTGGGGTAGGCTCTGCTGGGGTAGGCTTTGCTGGGGTAGGCTTTGCTGGGGTAGGCTTTTCTGGGGTAGGCTTTTCTGGGGTGGGCTCTGCTGGGGTAGGCTCTGCTGGGGTAGGCTCTGCTGGGGTAGGCCGCTCTGTGCCAGCCTTTGCTGTGCCAGCATCTGCTTTTCTTTCTGGCTGTTATGGCAGCAGCTGTGGCAGCAACAGCGTGGCGAGTGGAGGCGCATTTGGGGAAGGTTACAGTGGCATGTCTTGGGAAGGTGCATCTGGGGAAGGTGCATCTGGGGAAGGTGCATCTGGGGAAGCCTACAGAGGTACATCTGGGGAAGGCAGTGGAGGTATATCTGGGGAGGTTTACAGAGGAACGTATGGGGAAGGTACATCTAGGGAAGGCTGTAACCAGAGCAGCAGCAGAGATAGCAGCAGCGGGATGGGGTCTGCTGCTTGCTTCCCACCTCGGTCCCTTTCCTGCAACGCGGCTGCTGTTGCTGACGTGGCAATAGCTGCTGCTGCCAGGCGTGCGCTTGCCCGTCCAGGTGGCAGCGGCGGCAACCTGAGCCGCGCCACATCAGCGCATACACTCTCTGCAACCGCCAGCCATTTTACCAGTCGTGCTGCCAGCCGTGCTATCAAGATGCATGCAGCGCAGCAAGGAAAGAGCTGCTGCACTTGTGGCGGGTTGAGGTATCTGATTTGCACTCTCTGTGCGGGCAGCCGCGAGGTGCTATCCAGGGATGGTTGGTCTGTAAGGCTCTGTGTGCATTGTGACCCTCGTGGAATCATCGTCTGCCCTCGCTGTAGAGATCTGTGAAGTGCAAGGCAGCAAGGAAAAGGCTGCTTCTCCTGTGGTGGGTTGAGGTATTGTATCTAGTCTGCACTCTCTGTGGGGGCAGTCGCGAGGTGCTATCCAGGAATGGCTGGTCCGTAAGGTCCTGTCCTGTGTGCTCTGCGATCCTCGTGGAATCATATTCTGCCCTCGCTGTAGAGACTTGAAATCTATCGGTGTGGTTACCAGGGCCAGTTGCAAGGTGCTGTCTCGAGATGGCTGGTCCGTAAGGGTCTGTGCGCATTGTAATCCTCGAGGAATCATAGTCTGCCCTCGCTGTAGGGATTTGTTAAGTACATTGAGGTTGAAGTGATTTGAACAAATTGCCTCCTCACTGTCTGGGTGGGTACCATAGTTGTGAGTCGAGAGGTGTTTTCCCGGGACGGCTGGTTCCATGTGCCTGCGCGCATTGCGACCATCGCGGAGAGGAAATCGGTTTGGCAATGTTGTAGGGTAAGTTATATCGGGTTACACTACCGTACCATGGTTGGTAACCGCACTGTGCGGGACCGGTCACATCTCAGGAAGACGGGTGGCCTGGGGAGGGACTCAGGTATTACCGTACGTGGATATGAGATGAGAGGCTCAGTACCCGGGAGCAGCAATTCTGTGTGATGAGGCGATTTTTGAGTCGACTCAAAAATCGCCTAAAAAATCGTCTTTTGAGTCGCCTCAAAAATCGCCTCAAAAATCGTCTTTTGAGTCGACTCAAAAATCGGCTCAGTACCCGGGAGCAGCAATTCTGTCATGAGATGTGTACTATGTACGTATCTGGTACAGAACAGATCAAATACGGTAATGCACTATATACAGGTTCCGTTCCGTACCATGTGTCTACATAACAGGCGAACTTATAAAAAGAACAGCCCAAGTGTAGCCTTGAACGCTAGCTAGCCCCCAAGTTCAGCATCCATCCCACCACAAACCAAGCCAACTGCACACCATAGCAAGATTTCATGCTCTTATTCCATGCCTCCGCGTATCGCCTTCAAAGTTCCCAAGTAGGAAACCCAAACCAACCCAGCCCAACCAGCCAAATCCAACCCAACACGACCCAACCAGCCCAAGAAGAAACCCTTCAGCCCACACTCCTCCTCGGGGCAAGTCGAAGGCCTCCTTCTCTTCCTCCCATGCCACGACCTTCATGCACGTCAACAGCCCTTTTCAGCTACACTCTTCCTCAGCGTACTACAACGGCCTTCTCTGCTCTCTCTACCCATAGACCTAGGCTTTATTACAACCCACACGTCACCTCCTCCTCTTCCGTCACAGCCACCTCCTTACAGCACTGCAGAGGGCCTCGTGTCTCGGGATGTGCCATGGTTACTTCTCATCCAACTCAGAAACTCAAATCTTCTCCTCTTGCATCTCCATCAGGCCTGCTCACCACTCCGCATCCCCTTGCATCTTGAGATGCCTCACATCTTCTCCTCCCCCTCCTCCTGCATCTCCTTCAGGCACTTCAAGAGCCGTCCGCTCACTCTCACCCTGCCTTTCCCCGCTCTTCCACCCATCACCCTCTTCAGCACAATTTCCTGCTGCTCACGTCTGCTCGCTATTCCCTCCGCCCATGTGCCTCGCCGCCTGCCCCCACGCACTCCCTCAGTCGCTTGCACCGACCGGGAATGAGAACCCTTGTGCTGATGCAAATGCCCCTTGCCGCCACCCGCTCTTTTAGCGGCCTGCACGGCCTGGGGAGGAGAAGCCCTTTGTCGAATCAGAAGCCTCCTGCTGCCAGCCACACCTGCTTGCATCACCCCCCTCCTCAACACTCCCTTCTGCTGCTGACGCCTGCTCACCACTCTCTCCACCCCAGTCCGTCCAGCCTGCATTACTCTCTGCAGCACACCCCCCTGGTGCTCGCGCCTGTTCGCTATTCTCTCCGCCCATGTGCCTCTCCGCCTGCCCCCACCCACTCCCCCAGCGGCTTGAATGGAGTGGGGAGGGGAAGCAACGACCAGACACCCTCTCCTCCCCTCCCCCTCCGCTTCTGCCCTCCACACTATCCGGGGAATCCCCTCTTCTGTCACTTCCCCTTCCTCCACCTCCCCCTCCTCCCCCTTCCCCCCATCACGTGCATCCCATTTCTCCCCCTCCTGCCCCTCCCCCGCTTCCTTTATCCCCAGCACCTCCCCCTCCACCCTTTCGTCCACCTTTACAAACTTCTCCGTCCCAGCGTTGGCTTGCGTTGACCAGGCGCCAGCACCAGCATAGTCAGCATCCAAGTCAGCAGCAGCAGAGTCAGCATCCAAGTCAGCAGCAGCAGAGTCAGCAGCAGCAGAGTCAGCAGCAGCAGAGTCAGCAGCAGCAGAGTCAGCAGCAGCAGAGTCAGCAGCAGCAGAGTCAGCAGCAGCAGAGTCAGCAGCAGCAGAGTCAGCAGCAGCTGAGAGGGCACCTGGAGGGGAAGAATCTGCAGTACCAACTGGGAGGCGTGTCCCGCGCGCCACGGGGGAAAGGGGGCGCGGAGGGGGGAGGTCGCAGCTATCCGCGTGCGCAAGGAGGCGAGGCTTCTTGGCTTGAGTGGATTGGGAGGTGGTGGAGCGAGCGGTTAGCCCCTTGCCTGTCCGCACTGTCCGCACTGTCCGCACTGTCCGCACCGTCCGCACTGCCTTCTCTGCCAGCATCATAGGGTCTGCCTGTACGGCGTGCTCTGCGTGCTCTGCTTCTTTCACCAGCGGCAGAGCTCGGGCATGATAGCGCCAGTAACTGCGTGCTGGCAGGGACAGCTGACGCTCCAGCGCGGTGACGATACCCTCGCTATTCACCTGCCACGTGGCACGAGACCGCTTCCCCGCGCTCCCTCCTCCTGCGCCTGCTGCTGCCACAGTCACTGCCGCTGTTGACGCTGCTTCTCCTGCGGCTGTTGCCGCCGGTAGCGGCGGAAATGGCGCCCTCCGCACTGACAAGGCGCGGGCATTCGGGCGTGACGCGCTCCCCCCCTTCGCGTTGGCTCCTTCAGCGTCGTTCGCGCGGACGAAAGAGGGTCCTGCTGATGTGGCCGTGCGAGGGGCAGCACGACTGGTCTCAGCGGGAGGGGACGCAGTCGCGGTCGCATGCTCAGCAGTCGCAGTCACAGTCTCAGTCTCAGTCGTATTCGCATTCGCATTCGCAGTCGCAGTCGCAGTCGCAGTCGCAGTCGCAGTCGCGGTCGCATGCTCAGCAGTCGCAGTCACAGTCTCAGTCTCAGTCGTATTCGCATTCGCAGTCGCAGTCGCAGTCGCAGTCGCAGTCGCAGTCGCAGTCGCAGTCGCAATCGTCGCCAGAGTGTGGGGAGTCTCAGCTATCGGAGGCCCTCCGGGGGTAGCGGTCTGACGGCGCCGCCCAGACAGCCACGACTTGCGCTTGCCACCGATCATCTCGGGGGTTTCCGGGTCGTCCGAGGGATGCGGCGATGCGAGGAGGAGTTTCGACACCTCGCTGCGAAGCGCGGCCTCGCCAGCGTCACTGTCGTCGCCCTCGCCGTCCGCGTTCTCCGCGCTGTCCACGCCGAATACGCTGTCGTCACTGTTGTCGAGAGCACCGTGCAACGGCGTCATTGTCGTCAGCGAGTCACAGTCCTCACCGCCGTCGTCATTGTCGCTTCCATGCAGTATCAGATCTAACGTCCAGCCTCGAACAGCTTCAGGTATCTCGTCAGGTTCCGCCGCAGGTGTTGCTTCAGGTGCCAGCGCATGTGTAGCCACAGGTCTTGCCGCAGGTTGCGCACACTCTGAAGACGACCCAGGTAACGCAGGCGTCGCAGGCGTCGCAGGTGTCGCAGGCGTCACAGGTGTCGCAGGCGTCACAGGTAGCGAGGTAGGCACTTTGCTGCTAGTGGGCGAGGAAGTTACACTAAGCTGATTGGACGTGTCATTAGTGACGTCAGACAGAGCCGATCGTGGGATTCGAACAGTCTGTCGACTAGCAGTAGTACGGCGGATAGTAGCCATGGCGGCCAGAACCGTGCGAACGAATCGCACGATCAATGAAGTGCCTTTTGGAATGGACCGAGATCGATAAGAACAAGAAAATAAATAACGACAAGGGCGATCTTCGCTTCTGATTCTATTACTGGAAGCCTGTAAAAGAGCTAACGACGAGCGTGTTCTGGTGCTGAATTACTAGAACGAGCTGCTAGGAAATGTATGGACGAATATGCGATGATCCGACTGTTGGACTAAGAAACTCGGCCTTTCCGGGATGAGAGAATGAGGAGCCCTGGGAGAAACGAGTCAAGAGTCGCAGGACGCTCCAAGTCGATGAAATTATAAGTTGTAAAAGTATGCTTGTTTGTCTTGACGACTCATCAAGCAGCAGAGCAGCGGAGGTGTGCCTAGAGATAAAGAGGCAAAGGAGGTTGAATTCGACGTATGGAAGGGTGGTCAGGTGCGTCTCTCACCGCACGATGTCCAAGACTATGGGATCGACGGCTAGATATGTGTGTTTGTTTGAAGTCAGTTTCAGGAATTGCCGCCAAGCCGTTTGAACCGAATATTGAACCCGTCGCTTGGCGGCAGCGGCTCGCGCCTCGGTCGAACAAATGGAATGCTGCATGTCCTCGTTTTGAGAGATCCATGATGACTCGTTAGTGCATTTTGTATGCATACATATCATGCTAGATTTCTTTGGAAAATAAAAAGATTCAAAACAAATCTTAGAATGCGTTAACATTATAGATAGTTATCATTATGATTTCTTGAAGAAGGCTTTTAGAATTCAGATAGCGGATATCGCTATTTGCATACAGCATTGTTACATCTGTTTTCGATGCCAGCTTGGTCGGGGTTACTGCCACGCGAGCACGCGCTTTCTGATCCATAGCGTGTGGCTGGATTTCGGGGGCTACCACGCCAGCGTGGCTCGGCGCTGGGCATGTGTGTGGAACTCATAATAGTTCGCGCCATGGGGTGTCAGTCAGCAATTCGCCCCTGAACCCATCTCACCTGCCAAAAATTACCATGGAGTTGCCCGTCAAATTTACATTTCTTCGCTGGAGCGAACCACCTACCGTACTTCTTCTTCACTGCCCGTTTGCCGAAAGCAGCCCGCAGAAACAGCCGACGAACCAAAATTCGCATGGGAGAGAAAGCCCAACCAAATTCCAGTTGGCCTGCTGTACATTGGAAAAAATCCACGTGTTCCAATACCTCTGATCTGACCCGACCCTGTGTTCCAGTGCATCACCTAAATGTTTCCACTGCATCCCTTCTCATCCTAATCCATCCATATGAACCGAACCGGATACCTCGGAAGCACCTGTGGATTCCTCCTCCCTCGTCCTCCTGCCTTGACCTCCTATGATCCATCGCGCGCGTGCACCCACTTGCTGAACGAATGACTCCGCCATCCCTGACCATTTTGCCTTATTATCCAGAAACATTTCCTCTGTTCATGTCCTAGCCTGCCCTGTGCCCGTCCCTTCTCTGTGGGCTCGGCATTTTTCCAACTCGTCAACTGCCGGCACGTCTCCTTGGGTCGCCTAATCCAGCGACAATGGAGGCTCTTACGAAGTCTTTTGTCCGTCCGCCGCTAAGCGCCTCGGCGTCACTTGCCGGCCAGCCGTCAGTCGCCGTTAAATCGTCCGCTCGCGGCGGGTCTTCGTCTTCGTTCCCGTCAGTCTCGAAGGCGGCCACTTCGGCCGCAAACCGCACCGTCAGGACTTTCGCGCTTCCAAACGATGATGACGTCATCGCCTTAAATTCCGGAAAAAGTCTGGAGGAGCTCGAGGAGACGATTCGCCGCATCGCGGAGGAAAACGAGCAGCTCCGAGCTCGAGCCGCGGCCGCCGCGGCCAATGCGCGCCGCGCTGAGTCCGCTTTTAAAGGAGATGTCGACGTTTCAAGGCCGCGCATGGGAGCCGTGCCGCCGCCGCCTCCGCCGGAGTTCTCGGCGGCGCCTGCGGTCGAGTATTTGGATACGACTCTAGGGGGGGTGCCTGCAGCGGAGGTCGCTTCAGTCGAAGCTAAATACCTCGTCGAAGGTGCGTGCGTTGCTAGTGTTAACACGCCCAATCTAAAGAGCTTACGGAAACATTGGTCATGGTAGTGTTGGTGCTGGTTGTTGCGTTGGCGGTTAACGTTCGTTCAGAGGAGCTGAATGCTTCGGTCGAAGCTGAATACTTCGGTCGAAGCTGAATGCTTCGGTCGAAGCTGAATGCTTCGGTCGAAGCTGAATGCTTCGGTCGAAGCTGAATGCTTCGGTCGAAGCTGAATGCTTCGGTCGAAGCTGAATGCTTCGGTCGAAGCTGAATGCTTCGGTCGAAGCTGAATACTTCGTCGGAGTGCGTTGCTGATGTTAACCCGACCAATCCCAGGGGCTTCGGGAAACCATTGGTCGTGGTGGTGCTGGTGATTGTGGTTAGCTTGTAGCGATTCCAAGAGTCAGCGGAATGAGCGTGGTATTCGTTGCTGCGTTGGCGGTTAGCGCTCCCGCATGTGATTGTAGACCGCGTGGGTTGTGACTGTAATGGTGGCTGGAGGTGGCAGTCAGAAAATGCACTGTTGAGTGTGTGCATAAGTACAAGCTTCCCCTCCCCCCCACCCCCCCTCCCCCCCCCCGCTTCTCCCCCCCCGGCCTTCCCCCCGACTGCAGAGGCGGAGAGCGTGAGGAGCTGGCAGGAGGCGGTGGAACAAAAGGCCGCCACGTCAGCAGCGGCGGATGGCAACATCGAGATTGCCGCAGCAGGCGGGATCGAGGATGTCCAGAAGACGGAGAACCCTATGAGGTGCGGTGGGAAGGCGTGCGGTGCGGTGAGGAGGCGTGAGAAGGCTAATGTGTCCTTAAAGTCGACTCAGAGTCTGCCTTGACTGCATATACGTTTTCCCCTCCCTCATCTTTTCTTCTCTCCCCTCCAACCCCCTCCCCCCTTCCCCAGCATTGTGTTCGTGGCGTCGGAGTTAGCCCCTTACTCTAAAACCTTCGGGCTGGCGGACGTGGTGGGGTCGCTGCCGCCCCCATTCACCATTACCCCGCATCCTCCCCCTTTCCCGCCTGCAGCATTGTGTTCGTGGCGTCAGAGGTGGCCCCTTACTCCAAAACCGGAGGCCTGGCGGACGTGGTGGGGTCGCTGCCGGTGCTCCATGTCCCCCTTTCCTCTGCACTACCACCGTCCCTCTCCCCCACTCTCAACCACCCCCAGCATTGTGTTCGTGGCGTCCGAGGTGGCCCCTTACTCGAAAACCGGCGGGCTGGCGGACGTGGTGGGGTCGCTGCCGGTGGCGCTGGCGGCGAGGGGGCACCGCGTGATGGTGGTGGCGCCGCGCTACATGAATGGCGTCACGGACAAGCTCTACGCGGGGGCCTTTGACATGCAGGTGGGGTAGTGAGGCTTGGTTGCCGAGTATCAGGCGATAGGGGAAGGCAGCACATGGGTAGGGTAGGGTAGGTACGCAGGGAGGGAGCTTGTGGTGGCAGCGAGGGGGCACTGCGTGATGGTGGTGGTGGGCCTCCCTTACATGAATGGCCACCACGTGTGTGGCGCCGTAAATGATACACGACCTACGTGATCATAGCGCCTAAGCGGTCTTCGCGTGCGTCCTCCCTGCCCTGCCCTCCCCCTTCCTTCCGCTCTATCTCCTTGCAGTGTCGCATCAAGTGCTTCTGCTTTGAGGGTGCGCACGAGGTGGCCTTCTTCCACGAGTTCAGAGACGGTGTTGACTTTGTAAGACCTTCGTTGACTTTGTAAGACTTGCATTGACTTTGAGAGACCTCACTTGCGTAGACTTGCTGAGTTTCACTGTGTCACACTGGCACACTTCTTCATCATCTCCATGCTTCTCCTTCTTCCCCCTCTCGACCCACTCTTCACCTTGTCCCTTCCCACCCCCTCTCTCTACCTGATAATTCAACTCGACACCTTGGCTTACCCCCTTCATTTCGCCCCTCTCACTCCCCCTCACTCTCATCCACTTTCTCCTTCTCCCTCCTTCACTTCCCCCTCGCAGGTGTTCGTGGATCACCCATCCTACCATCGCCCTGGCACGCCCTATGAGGTGATGTGATGTTTGCATTGACTCTCAAGTGTCCTTTCCCCTCCCTCCGCTTCCCTCCCTCCCTCTCCCTCCCCCTCGCTACGCCCCCCCTCTTTCCCCTTCCCCCTCGCAGGTGTTCGTGGATCACCCATCCTACCATCGCCCTGGCACGCCCTATGAGGTGATGTGATGTTTGCATTGACTCTCAAGTGTCCTTTCCCCTCCCTCCGCTTCCCTCCCTCCCTCTCCCTCCCCCTCGCTACGCCCCCCCTCTTTCCCCTTCCCCCTCGCAGGTGTTCGTGGATCACCCATCCTACCATCGCCCTGGCACGCCCTATGGGGACCAAAACGGCACGTTTGGCGACAACCAGGTGGGTGGGACAGGTGATGACAGGTGATGACAGGGTGCTGCTGTTTCCACAAATGCATGACTTTCATCTCATGAATGCATGATGGCTGTAATTTGTTTGTCCCCTCTCCCCTCACCTTCGCTGTCCCCTCTCCCCTCAACCCTGCCGCCTCTTTCTCCCATCTCCACAACCCCTTCCGCTACCCCCTTCCCACCATGGCACGCTGCTGTGCCATGCGGCCTGTGAGGCTCACAGCAGCGAGGCACATACGGGCAAATAATGTTGCCTCCATCCCTCGCTGCTCCCCTCCCTCACTCCTCCTCCTCTTCCCCTCCCCCTCCTCTCCACACATCAGTTCCGCTTCACGCTGCTGTGCCATGCAGCCTGCGAGGCGCCACTACAGCTGGAGCTGGGCGGGTTCACGTACGGGGAGAAGGTTCTTTTCATTGCCAACGACTGGCACGCGGGGCTGCTGCCCGTGTGAGTGGGGGGAGGGAGAGGTAGGGGAAAGGGGAGGCCGGGAGGGGTTGAAGGGACAGCTGGAGCTGGGCGGGTTCACGTACAGGGAGAAGGTTCTTTTCATTGCCAACGACTGGCACGCAGGGATCCTGCCCGTGTGAGTGGGGGGAGGGGGGAAACGAGGGGGAAACCAGGGGGGGATGAAACACAGCTGGAGCTGGGCGGGTTCACGTACAGGGAGAAGGCTATTTTTGAGTCGACTCAAAAATAGGTTCACGTACAGGGAGAAGGTGCTGTTCATTGCCAATGACTGGCACGCGGGGCTGCTGCCCGTGTGAGTGGGGAAAGAGAAGAGAGGGGGGGTTGGGGGAGAGGGGGGAGGAAGCGGCAGCTGGAGATGAGTGGATTGTTGAGAAGCGGTTCGTTGCTAATGCCTGGCATGTGTGATAAGTCGATTTTGAGTCGACTCAAAAATCGACTTATCACACACGAGGAGGGGAGGGGAGACGGGGGGCGAAGCGGCAGCTGGAGATGAGTGGATTGTTGAGAAGGTGCTGTTCGTTGCTAATGACTGGCATGTGGGTTTGCTGCTTGTGTGAGTGGGGAAAGGGGGTGGGGGGGTGGATGGGGAGAGAAACAGTTGGAGCTGCTGCCCTGTCTCCTCTCCCCTCTCTTCTTGAAAAATCCCTGCTCCCCAAGGGATGTACGAGCACACGCGCACCATCCTGGGCTGGGCTGAACCTCTTAATATTCCTCCTCCCCAACCCTGATTGTCCGTTGCTTTCTTTTCCCCCCTTCCCTTTCCCCCATCAGTCTGGTCGCGTCCAACTACCGCCCCCACGGTGTGTACAAGGATGCCCGCACCATCCTTGCCATCCACAACCTCTCCCACCAGGTGAGGACAAGCCTTGCCATCCACAACCTCTCCCACCAGGTGAGGACAAG